AGTTGCCTTCGTCATAGTAGGATTTGCTGGTCTCTGCTAGCCAGCCTGGAGCTGTAAGGAGGTTCTGTCTAGCTAACTTGGACTGCGGGAGCAGATCCAGAGTGACACATTGACAAGTAAAGATAGCAAAGATCTTTGCTTTGCCAGGATCATTATCAGCAGATTGCCACAGATTTGTAAAATCAGAGAGCCAAGCTGTCCCACCTGAAATAACAAGAGGCTGGTGTACCTTCCTCAGTGACCTCATGCCTGCAGGGCTGAATAAAGGTTTACCATGCCCTTTAATACAAGCATGAGAATGGAACTGGCAAAACTAACAGACTCGACAACAGACTCGTGAGGTTTTCTGAGAAGCTGTAGAATTCTGCATTGATCTCCAGCATCTGTTCTGGTTTGCAGACAGCACAGTATGCGGAGGCAGGGGCTATCTGCTGGGAAGCACTGTGCTATTAAATTAATCCAAAGTCTCATTAAGTCAGTGATTAACTGCAGGACTTTGTACTGAAAATGCATTTCAGTTTCCTAACTTACTATTCCACTTACAGCAAACTAACTAGATTTTTCAGCCGTACTGTATAAAAAAATCTTTAACACGATGAAGGAAGTTTCTGAAAATGTTTTCTTTTTTCCTTTACTAGGTCCCCCCCGAGTTAGATTTGGTCAAAGCTAAACGACAAGACTACGAGCCTGAAATAGAGAAAGCAAGATACAATAGCTGTTTGGAAAGACAGAACGCAGGAGGGAGACAACATTGTGAGATGGCATCTAATTGTGTGCCTGGTCAGGCAGAGGCTGCTGCAGTGACAGTAGACCCGAAACAGCTAAATAATTCCAGGTGAGACCACCATTATAAACTGATTTTGTAAGCTCTATGGGAAGTTACTGCACTGTTTAAAACACTCGGACAGCCCAATTTGGAAGATGCTATAAAATGCTGGTTTAGTGGGATTTTTTTTTTCCTTGCTGTTATTTCTTTATGCATCTTTTTCTTCATAAAATGTAGTTGCTGAAATCCTGTTTAACACTGTGCTTCCCTGGGGGGAGGGACAGAAATACAGACTCTTCAGCTATTGAGTGTGATGCCACTTACCAGCGGAAATTGCGACAAAAGCAGCTACAGCAACAGTTCCGGGAACAGATGGAGAAAAAGCATCAGGTTCCAGTAGTTTCTCCCAGCAGCAAACAGGGTAAGACTCAGCATTAAATATGGACAGTTTTAACAATAGCTGCTGGCAGGCACATGCTGCCTTCTCTAATGGAGCCTGACCAGTTCCACTTGCTTTTGTAGAGTACTATCAACACACCTTTGAGGCCAAAGGAAGGAGGATTAGCATACTCCCCCACCCTCTCGTGTTCTTAAAGTGGCAGGAACATCAACCCTAAAACTGCATCTTTAAACTACAACTTTCCAACCACCCTAAGGCGTCATGCAGCACAGCAGCTGTTGATGGTACCATTAACATGCTGCACCTGAGCTGAGGCTGCAGTACTTCACTGAGGTGGCTGCAGGGAAATAGATATTGCATTAGCTACTAATAGGTTGCTCTTTACTCATGGGGAAGTCTGGTCAGCTGTATGGTAAGCAGGAACTTGGGGGTTGGGTAAACAGGCTAAAAACCATTCTGAAGTAGTGCGGTTGCTCTTCTCAGACATCATCAGGTAGAGAATCTTACCATTCCACATACTGCTACCAGATGGAACCAGCTCTTAGAAAAAAGAGGGTACCTGATGGCAGCTGCTGCTTATCATGTAACACTCTGGCTCTATTAAAAGGAGCAAAAGGATTCTTCTGTATTTATTTCTAATATTAATCTCTTCTTGTGTTACCTCCATCCAGCAACTCCCAATCCTCCTGTAAAGCACAGCACTCCAGCAGCAGTACAACAGGAACTAGAAGTAGAAGAGGAGTTCTTTGCAGGTCAGCCAAAAAGCAATGAGTAATAGAGCACTAAATCATTAGTATTTAAATCAACAGTGTAACGGTAAGTTCTGAAGAGGATGGTGTCCTGGGTTCAGCTACAGCAGTCATTTTTTCTCCTTCTTAGTAGCTGGTGCAGGGCTGTGTTTTTTGACTTTCAGCCTGGTAACAACGCTGATAACACCGATGTTTTTAGTTGTTGCTCAGTAATGTTTACTCTGACCAAGGACTTTCTCAGTCTCATGCTCTGCCAGGGAGGAGGGGAAGCCAGGAGGAAGCAGAGGCAGGACACCTGACCCAAACTGGCCAAAGGGCTATTCCATACCACAGCACGTCATGCCCAGTATAGAAACTGGGGGGAGTTACCCGGAAGGCCCAGATCGCTGCTCGGGTCGGGCTGGGTATCGGTCGGCGGGTGGTGAGCGGTTGTGTCCTCTCCCCTTGTTATTCCTCTTATTATTATTATTGGTAGCAGTAGTGGTTTTTATTATACCTTAGTTACTGGAGAGCTGTTATCTCAACCCATGGGAGTTATATTCCTCCAGTTCTCCTCCCCATCCCTCCAGGAGAGGGAATAAGTGGGGGAGTGAGAGACCAGCTGTCATGGTTCTGAGTTGCCGGCTGGGCTTAAACCATGACAGATGGAATGACAGAAGTGTGAGTATGAGTCTCATCTTAACAATATAACTTTAGCTTGAGTGGCAGGGAAATTGTGTCCATCACCATGAGGGGTTTCACACTTATGCTTTTCAGTTATACTATTGGGTAAACCCTTTTCCTTAAGTGATAGTGCACAGAAACACAGCGTTTGTAGTGGGATGGGGTAGGGGGTGTCTTGTCTTAACATAACTCTGGCTATTCGGGTCACACACCATGGTGCCTGGACATTGCTGAAGTCCAGAGCACCATCCCCTGCTGTGCACTGCCATGGAAGATACTTTATAGTTTAAGTTCAATAGTTACCAGCACTTGTAGGAAAAGAGTTGGGCTGGTCCTGGAGTTCCTGTCATTGTACACTGCTGTTGTCTTTGGTTTGATCAGCTTTTCATTCCTTCTAGATGATCCTGAACTTTGGGACATTTCCTTGGAGACCATTGATCTTAAGATAATGGGTCACAAAATGGCAGACCCATCAGCCGGGCACCAAACTCCTGAAACACTCCGTGGTTGTCATCAAATGACTGCTCGTAACAGGACACCCCGCAGAATGAACTACTACAAAGCTTCTAGGCTTGCACAGCTGCAGCCGTCTGCTGCCATCATGAGCAGCAACCAGCATACTTCAGGTATGTGTTACCAAAGCGTGACTGAGTTCTGCCTTCACAGTGGCTCTCAGCTTTGAAAGCAGTGCTGGAGTGGGAGAAACATTTCTCTCTTCTTGGACCTGGCTGTAGATGCTGCAGTAGTGGGCTAGGAGAACTATCTGTTTCTTCCATCTAACTGTCCTGTCAAGGAAGAGCTAGAAAAAGAATTGAGGTGCACTTCTAGAAGCAAAAAAAGCTTTAAGAAACTTCTATTTCTCACTATCTCCCTTTTGGCAGAGTGCAGCCCTCTCAGGAGAAGTCAAAACCAGAAGAGGAGGAGGCTAGAACCCACATAGGACGTGTGGTGGTATCCTTACTTTTACCTCCATGCTGGATTCCATCTGAAGACTGCAACTGGCTGTCCAAATTATGTGAGGAAGTCTAACGCCTTGGTGGATTTTCCTGTATGTTACAGTGAAGCAACACAGAAGAGCTTAACACAGCCAGCAGGAACTTAATGTACTTTTAGGTTATTACATGTTTCAGATGCCTTTTCTATAAACAAGCAATTATTCGTGCTTCTGCGGCACTGGACTTGTGGCTGTCGAACAGCCGATGTGACACACGATTTGCCTGAAATGGTAACAGAATTGATCTTTCAAATGAGAGGCAATTCACGGCTTCATTCTCCCCAGGGCTGCCTTTCAGCACAGAGCAAAGAGATGTTCACTAATATGGGGAGAGGGTGGGTTGTGGTCAGACAAAGCCTTGGTGCTGTGGTTGCCCCTTCGGAGGGGCTGAGGGCGTGAAGCTGTGGCAGCAGAGTCAGAGCGTGGTCGGTGCCCTTCCTCAGCTTGTTCCTCAGCTGTGTGTGACTCCTGTGCAGCAGCACATCCAGCTGTGCCTGCACAACCGGGCAGCACAGGGGCAGGAACATGCTGGGACTGCTGCCAAAGTTGCACGTAGCATCTCAGACAGTGTTTGCTTGGAGCCTGTGTAAGATGAATGGGAGCAGCACTTCTGATTTTAAATAAGCTTTCAACCCTCTTCAATATAAAAATAAAGGTGAAATTTGAAAAACAAACCACACTTTGTGGCTCTTTGTGCCTCTGCACCCTTCAAACCATCACAACTTAATTCCTGTTTAATTGCTGAAATTAGCTCAAAGAAGCTAACACGTGCTGACTAGTTACAAGTAGGAAGCAAAAGTGCCTGTACAGCCTTGTGTTTCCTTTTAGGTGGGCAAGCAGAAAAAGAACATCCAGTGGGTTTTAAATGTTACAGCCACACCACAGCCGTTCCTGCCAGTAAGAAGGTCAAAGGAAACATTTTTAAAGCAGTGTTTGAAAAATACACCAGTGCCCATTTTGAGGCGCTGGTTCCACTACCTGTGCTCTTCCTCTGGCAGTGACGTGGTTCAGCTACAGCTCCTGCTGCCCCGGCAAGAACCAGGCACCACCTGAGGGTTGGAGCTTGTACCTGCACCAGCAGCACTCCTGGTGGGTGGTGCTTCCCCATGGGGACACTGGCACTGCAGCACCCACCTGCAGCGCTGGAGACAAGGAGGATGATTAGATATTAGGAAGTTCTTCACTGTGAGGGTGCTGAGGCCCTGGCACAGGTTGCCCAGAGAAGCTGTGGCTGCCCCATCCCTGGCAGTGTTCAAGGCCAGGTTGGACACAGGGGCTTGGAGCAACCCGGTCTAGTGGAAGGTGTCCCTGCCCGTGGCAGGGGGTTGGAACTAAGGTCTGTAAGATCTTTCCAGCTGAAACCATGCTATGATTGACTCCAGTACAGAAAGATAGGTCAAATTATAATTAACTATAATAGATTACATCTCAAAGCTTCACATTCCACTGTAGTTGTCACTCTGACTCAATGCTGCCTTCAGAACAGCTCAGGGAAGAAATACATGCCTCATGTCTGAATGAGGTTTCCATGCTCACCGTGGAAATCACGTACCTGGTGGGAAGGGACTGTGCAGACATTCAGAAATACTGTGTTTAAAGCAACTTGAAACTTGTACAACGAAAAAGTTAAAAGTCTCATAAATGCAGCTTTCAGCTTCCACGGGAAGAGCGCCAACATAGCCATGCCTGTAAGCGAGGTCACCAGTGAGCCTCTTGGGATTGGTCCCTTTTGAAAGGGCACTCAAACTTCCACTCGGAGCTTTTTGTTTTCCTTTAAGGCCTTGCACAGCATGACTCATAACAGAAGCTGTTCTTAAAATGGAAAGAAATGCAGCAGCGTTTAGAAATGCCAGATAATTCCAGCAAGTCTACTGTTGGAGAACAACTGTGAAGTACTTCTGCTCTTCTAGTCTACCAGGACAGTTGCAAATTTGGGTATGGAATTCCTGTTACGAGCCACACTAAGAGGTTTCTTCTCCCCAGCACTGCTGGCCTGCACCCCTGCTCCCTTCCACCCCAGAGAGGAGGGTGAGGGACCCAAGAGGACCCTTCTGTGCCAGGCAGGGTGCAGCACACACTGCTCCAGGTTCACTGCCAAAAGGACACAGAGCACCTCAGCTCACAGGGCTCCACCTGCACTTGGAACAGGGAGAGCCGCCAAGTTCTTCACAGTCGTAGCTGAGTGTGTTCCTCTCTCTCTGGTAACTGCTCCAGTCTCAACCATAAAAGCAATCATAGTGCTTGTATGTTACCCATCACCTCTTACACGATCTTTCACGGCTCTTCCCATCCAGAAGATCCATTCTATGAACTATTCTTTACTGCACCTTGCTTCAGTGTGTTCTATTAAAGGGCAAAGGCTCTTTACCGATCGCCGCTTTTGAGAAGCAAAGGATCTCATTAAAACAGGTTTCTTGTACTTTCCTGTCATCAACTGATAAATTGGGTCACAATTACCAGGAAGAGGGTGGAGAGGTGGGGACCTGCTGTTCAACAAGGAAACCCACAGCTCAACCAGAGCAGGTTTGGTTTATTCGAATGACTCCAACATTCTACATAGGTACCAAGTGGCAACACAAAGCACAACCGTGTGAGAAGAGCAGTGCTGGGGTTCAGTGCAAGACACACAACTAACTACGGCCAGGGGAGCCCAAAGTTTCAGTTAATTTTATTTTTTTATTTTTTTTTACAGTGTACATTGTTAAATAATGTAAAGAAAACGCTTGTAATTCAGAAACAGATTTTATGTGGAAAAAAGATACTCAAAGTGTAATATTAAACAAAATAATTTAACAGTTCAGTAGCATTAGTTTATTCCTCTAGACTTCAGTTATTCATCCACAGGAGGGCAGGGAGAGGGGGAATCAATGGTAAATAAAACCAGTTCTTGCATAACATTAAGTGAAAAAACGACCTCAAACTTATTAGATCAAAATTAAATAACCATGTGCTGCATCCAGCCAGTCGGTTCCCCTGGCATGAACATGGCCCTTGTTTCATCCCTGCCTCAGGTCTGCCACTGCTCCCGTTTCCAGAGCTCACCTCACCCCTCACACTGCGCGTCTTCCGGAGACCCCTCTGCATCCACTCTGAGGGCAGAGCAGAGGTTCCCGATCTGCCTCAGCCACTGGGACACCCCCTTTCTGCCCCTTCCCCAAGCACCCACCTCGAGCCTCCTCACTCCTGTAGCTCTGCTCTGCACTTCAAATAACAACCCACCCTGGGCCTAAGGAACTGGAGCTCACCCCGCTTGCTTTCACCCTCAGCCTGTACCCAGCCCCATGGCCAAACCTGCTGTAAAACAAGAGACAGGAAAGGGACAGAGCTTGAGCATTTCTCTGTAAAGATGAAAGAGCGAGAACATCTGCAGACAGCAGATTCCCTGTTAGGGCTCCAGGGGGAAACAGCGCTTCAGGAAGGAAACAAAACAGGCAAGTAACATCTCCATGACGCACCAGCTTCCAGGATACTGGTGAGCTACTCCCAAGTACCAGGAAGCAGTACCCTCATCCTCCACAGCTTTCTGCAGCACTACAGGAATACTGGCTGGTATTATTTTTACTTTGAAGAGGAAACCAGTATTTGTTTCTTTAAACATGAAAGGGAGACTGACCAAAGCAGAAGGTACAGTACAGTTCCTAAGAGGTGACAGAGAGTGACAGTCCTGGTACCAGCTTGAAATTGGATAAGAGTGAACAGAATCGTGAATCCTCCAGTACAGACAGAGGAAATTTCTTGACGCCGGCTGTTTCAAGTACATCCATTGCCGGCAATGGACGTTGCACCAGGACATTCCTGGTTTACATGGATTTTACCAAAAATAAAATAAAAGAAAAAAAAAATAAAAGAAGAAAAAGAAAAGGTAAGCAAAGCAATCCCAGCAGACAGGCCCACGCCAGCAAGCAATGGCACCTCTCCCTCGAGTCACATCCTGACCAAACACCTTCACCACTTTGCCGGTGGAGTCTAACTGCATCTCCAGTTGGGCCTCTCCCAAAGACACACGTTCTCCCCATCCTCTCTCTAGTTTCCGATCCAGACCTCCTGCCTCCGCAGTCAATATTGGTGAGTCTTGCCTTAGCTTCACCCACACCCCTCCGTCCCCACCACACCAGCCACCTCAGACCTGAGGACAAGTTCCCCAACGCATGGAACACCATTCCAGCCCGCGGCCTCCATGACTTCCCCCTCCAAACACCTACTCTAAACAGTAACGGTATCACTAAAGAAGCTCTTAGGTACAAATGGTCCGTCCTTCTCTGAGCCTGCCCTGGTCCGCCTGGGGGTCTGCTGGGAAGATGACGCTAACTGCAGAAGCAATAGAAGTCCAAGGCACTAAAATATCCAGCAAGCATACTGGGAGAACAGACAAGTATTCAAGTACATTAATTTATACAATTTTACATTCACATTTATTTATCTAATACAATGAAAATACAAAGGAAAAAGTTAAAGTGTCTCCAATAAGTATAAGGATATAGCTAGCTTTTTTTCCCATTTTTTTCTTTTTAACTTTTTTAACCCTCTATATTCCACTCATTTTTAAACTACTGTTGTCCAACAACATTTATATATCACAGTGTTTCCACATCAAAACTGATGGTAAGTACATGTCCGCAGGGAACTTTTAATAATTCTTTTAAACAATTTAAATTGCTCTAATGCTGCAGTCAAAGCTGTTAATATCTTACTTAAAGCAGTAATGACCTATCAAGCATGGGCTGCACTGCAAGTCCATTCCTGTGCCCCACCATTTCGGAGCCAGATACAATTGACTGGGGAGAGGGAGAGGAGGGGGATTTGGACAGCTTTTCTCTTGGTCTTGGTTCTTCAGGGAGAGATGAGAAGCGTGCTAAAGCCTCATGCTAGGATTCAGCTCTCCCACCTCGACACGTGTGGATTCAGCCTCAAACCAGAGAAAAATTACACAGCAAGACTGCATGAAC